ATAGCTAAACTTAAAGCATTGGCTTCAACGCATCGCAAAACCAGAACCTTGGAGAGACCAGCGAACATCCATGAGAAAGTGAGTGAGGAGCAAGGTACCTAGCATTGTACATCCGTCTGGATTTCACAACTACCGTTCCTAGGGATTTAGGATTCAGATTCGCACATCAACCAGTAAGCTTTTCTCCCAATCATCTTGATATAGAGGCAGCCTATGCAAGGCGCAGCCAGGTAGTCCAATGCTCAAGCCACTTAATCAACACAAATATTATCCTAACTTACAACAAAATGACTTGTTTCTTCTCTAACAATGGAACCGGAAAATGTTACTTTGAATGCGCGAGAAACTTCTTTGGTCGAGATGAAGAAACGTAAATGAAGAAATGAGTCCGGAACATCTCGACCAGGTACAGGCCGCTTTGTTTACATTAGGAGTCTGGAGTATCTCGCCGCAATTTCACTTGAAACCACCATGAACAGATCAACGGGGTAACTGATATTTGATTTTACGAAAGGGGTAAATGTTAGACGCGGACGAAAGTTCTTTTGTCGAGGTGAAGAAACGCTAACGCTGAGAAATTGAGTCTGGAACATCTCGAGGAAGTCCGCTCTGGGTCCGCTTTGTTTATGTCCGGACTATGTCTACGTTCGTTTGTTTACATTAGGAGCGAGTTTGACACCGATGACAGACTTTGGTTTTTGATGAAAATTTGGTCTGGAATATCTGGGCCAAACGCAAAAACCCTCGATCCACTGTGCGTAGGCCCCTAACCTTTAACTTGTAAAAACAAAATGACATAACGCTCTCCTCGACCCCCTCCCCTCCTGGAGCGTCACGTATTTTACGAACGACCCCATAGCTCACCTGCTCATTGAAATATATCTGACAGGATTGAAAGTTTAAATCCTTACGACGCTCAGGACTGAAGAATTAATCCGAGGAAGGGCCCCACTTTTCCGGGAAGGAAATGCGAGTCCGCTATTAAAACAATGGTCCCATCAAGAGAGCAGTAAGAAAGTTGGAACAACCATCGCTGAACTTAATCCCCCGAGGACGCATATTCGTCCCTCGGCCGATAAAAAGACGTAACTGCCTATTGGGACGAGCCCGGAAAAGCATTGAGTTTTATGGACAGCAGGGTTCATCGCGAAGTGAGTTACGCTCTTGTGTCAGGAGGCCGACGTATTGTCGCGGAAGCATAATTCGCAGTGCATTTTTCCTCCGTCCCCGTTGTTTACTCCCGTTTTACTTTAATTTGTTTATTTTTCGAAATATATTTTTCCGTCGCCGAGCAGTATTTGCGCTCGTTCAAATTAAAAACGAGAAGTTTGCTTCCGCCGGAATGTAACGCCTACGCAAGGAGCCGAGAGGAGGGGCCAGGAGGATCATGAAAAGGACTGCATTTTGCGATGGGCCTGTTACGAACTCCAGCTGGGGCAAAAAGAGGGGTTGTTTCTCAGAGAAACTGGCTCAAAAATCACGATGAGCGCATTGGGATGGTCTGAATTACACTGTTCCGCTAAAATATGTTGTGCGTGCTGATTTCCGCTTATTACATACATGACTTTCTGAAGGCATTTCATGAGTGCAAGAAAATCGCCTTCAGCTGCGTCTGCAGTAATTGTTGTTATGGATATGTTGTGCGTGCCGATTTCAGCTCATTACATACATGACTCTCTGAAAGCGTTTTTAGGCGCAAGCAAGTCGCCTTCAGCTGCGTCTGCAGCAATATTGTAATCTTCGGTCACATTCTTACGGCGCAATGATACAACTATTTGAACTCTCCGGAATGCGTGAGGTATCACGCCGCATTTGAAGGCGTTTTCAAGACAGCCAAGTTCCGATACCCGGGTTATTGTTTTGCAAAGTTCTTATTATTATGTTTTATTTCCTACCATTTGTTTGTTTTCAATCCTCCTATAAAAACTACTCATTTTCTGAATACACTTCTGGCTGGAGCGCATTTTAGCTATGCATTCACGACTACTAAAATGTCAAAGGAAATCGACAAGACTAGCGTGTATGAAGGCTATTTCAATTGTAATCTGCCGTCGCATTTCTAAGGCGCAATGATACAACTATTTGAACTCTCCGGAATGCGTGAGGTATCACGCCGCATTTGAAGGCGTTTTCGCAACAGCCAAGTTCCGATACCCGGATTATCATTTTGCATAGTTCATATTCTTTTGTTATATTCCGTACCACTTGTTTATTTTTAATCCTCGTATAAAAACCACCCATTTGCTAAATACAATTCTAGCTGAAGTGCACTTCAGCTATGAATTCACCACTGCAAAAATGTCAAAGGAAATTGACAAGCCCAGCGTGCATGGAGGCTATTTCCATTTTAATCTTCCGTCGCATTCCGAAGGCGCAATGATACAACTATTAAACTCTCCGGAATGGGTGAGGTATCACGCCGTATTTGAAGGCGTTTTCAAAACAGCCAAGTTCCGATACCCGGATTATCGTTTTGCAAAGTTCTTATTATTATGTTTTATTTCCTATTATTTGTTTGTTTTCAATCCTCCTATAAAAACTACTCATTCGCTGAGTACACTTCAGGCTGCAGCGCATTTTAGCTATGCATTCACGACTACTAAAATGTCAAAGGAAATCGACAAGACTAGCGTGTATGAAGGCTATTTCAATTGTAATCTGCCGTCGCATTTCTAAGGCGCAATGATACAACTATTTGAACTCAACCCTTGCATCCTTCAATAGAAGGGTTGGGTCACCCAAAAACACAAAAACAGGGCACTTGCAAAGCACGGTCGACGTAGTACATTATACGAAAATTTAAATGTGTTTTTCTCACAACGTGGTTCCCAGTAATACGCTGTTATTCACGCGCTGTCCTCAATTATAGGTAGTAAGCAATTGAGTTATTTTTGCCGTTTTATTTTGCAAAATTGAGCCGCTTGCGATTTTACGTGGTAATACAAATTAAAAGGAATAGCTTTCTTTCTCGTGCATTTGCACGGTCTGGAGGCCCTGGTACCGGGTACCCTCTTTGCATGAGCCAAGATGATTAAATTCTTCCCCATCTGCACTAAGTACCGTTACTTGGAGCGCAGAACTAATGCATCTTTTATTTAGGTTTTCTTTCTTCTGAGTCGAATTGTTCTGTGAAACGGGGGAGGGAGTGGGGGTAAGTGCGGTGTAAAAACGGAAAAATCAACTCCACCAAGGGCAGAGGTTAAGATTCGTTAGAATCCTCTTGGAGATACTCTCTTTTCACAGGGTTGTCAGAAATTTTACGAATAGTTTTACCAAGTCGAAGAGACGCCTTTTGATTTTGACGTCTGTAAATAGTCTGAAACCAATAACTCATCACGATGGCGAAAAATATAAACAGATAATGACCATATCTGTTTTATGAGAAAGGGAGAAACAATTTTCTACTGTTCATACCTTATTATTCACTATGGTCAATTTAGAGCACGTTGATGTCAATTTGCTATCAACATGGTAGCCTGTTTCTGACCAGGAGACACCGACACAGTATGTAAATTTGAACAAGTAAAAACATTTTGTTCTTGTGATTATTTTGATGCGGTGACTAGTTTCTGAGATATCGGACACGGTAGATTCAACGCCTAACTCATGCGAGTTGAAATCTCTAGTCACATGAATTGGAATCTCTAGTCATAGAAGTTGGCGAAAAGTGGATTGAGAAATTCTGCTCATATATGTGTTAAATTCTATTCATATAAGTTAAAATTCTATTCATACGAGTTGAATTTCTATTCATATGAATTGAAAGTCTATTCATATGACTTTGATTTTCTACTCATCATTTTTAGTTAGTTAGTTAGTTATTATATTTTTGAGACATTCAGCGACTCAGGCTATTAACGTCTTTACAGGTAATTTTGAAAATATATAGGATTAGCAGGGCATGCGCAACGTTTCTATGGTATCGACCAGGGCCGGATTAAGGAGGTGGCCACATGAGCCGCGGCCCATGGCGGCAAATTTTGCACTTTTTTTAATGTAGGTATAAAAAAAAGAAAATCGGATTCAGAAAAAAAAATTACCAACGAGAAAAGGAGACAAAATCTCTCATTTCCTGAGAGTATAGTAATTTCTAATTTTGTCGTCTTTCGGTGATACAAGAGACAGCACTTTTAATTAGTCGAGTTAAGAGAGACACCGAACACGCTATTTAGCATGAAGCGGTGCGGCGCAGTGACGAGGACTTGATATGAAAAGGAGAAGCCCTCACGGCGGTCGGCAAGTAACACATATTAGCGCCTACAAGACTGCATGAATACTTCACGCATTGCGTCAAACACAGTGCGGTCAGCAGCGCAGCGGCCGACGTGAAACGCATAGCGCCTAGGAGACTGCATGAATACTTCACGCATTACGTCAAAAACAGTGCGGTCAGCGTGAAACGCATGGCGCCTACTAGACTTCATGAATACTTCACGCATTGCGTCAAACACAGTGCGGTCAGCGCGGCGGCGGAAGTTAAAATTATTAAACCACATTTATGTTTGTTCTTGCATAATTTTTACGTTCATTTATTACAAATGGAAGGCCTTGTTCACACAGAGATAGGTTTAAGGAACTTAACTTTCGCGCAAAGTTCCGTGAGATTTTTCTTAAAGGGTTGACAGGGCTTTCGCAAAAAATGTGTCCAACACGAGTAAGCGAGTCTTATGTACCCTTCCCCCTCCGGCACGTTCACTTGATGGTTTTTATTGACGTTTCGAAACGAATGAGGAGGGGGCGGCAAAATACAGGCGGCCCATGGGCGGCAAGTAGGTAAATCCGGCCCTGGTACTGACTTGATCAAAGATACCACTTAGACACCAGCATGTTACGAATTTTTTTTTTTCTCTAACGAGGGGCAAACCTGTCCTAAAAACCATAATTTAGACAATGTGCTAACTTCTTGATGTCTCAGTGGGTCCTAGGACCAACATGTTTGCATGTTTTCTCTACGAGTACAAATTGTTTAATACTTACTTTCCTTTCAATTTTTTTTCCAGGAGTGTTTTTAATTTGTTGGGTGCCGTTTTTTACCTGCAACATGGTGGACGCAATTTGCACGAAGCTAGGTGCTGAGTGCCAGCCAGGATTCTACGTTTTCCTCATGACAACTTGGCTTGGCTACATGAATAGTTTCGTCAATCCTATCATTTACACTATTTTCAACCCTGAGTTTCGAAAAGCCTTCAAAAAATTGATGTCCATAGGAACGTGATAGTTTGTGAAATTTCTTTTTGTCTAGGCCATTACCTGTGATTTTTTAGCTATTTTATAATTATTTTACTTACTGTCATTTTCCATCCATCCCTTCTCAAATTCCCTCCTCTTCGTGTACTTAAGATGACCAGTGGAAATACAGGGTCAGGCCCAGCGGGATCCTAATGACTCTACGAGGAACATTAATTTTATTTCATTAACTCCTTAATTTTAGATATACCGAAGAGATGAAGCTGAATTTACCGCCAACTGTTGTAGGCAAACAATTCGTGTAATTTTATTATTTACATTTGTCTGTTGTGGCCATAACTTACAGTTAGCAAAAGCTTGACTTTTAAGTGGAAAAGATTTATGGAACAGTCTATTTGCAGCTTTTGTCGAACAGCCACTGACTTGGAGGAGATGATCACCTCGGTATTTGTGACTTCAATGTCTTAGGTAACCAATTTTGGCAGAATAATCAAGATTTTCCTTGAACCAAAAATCCTATATTTAAATTCAAAGAGTTATGGGCACTAACTCAAGGAGGCATGGGTAGTTAGATCAATCCTCCTCACTGCAGCATATTGGCGATGAAAAATTTTTGTCGGATGAAGTATTTTATCAGGATAAAAGAAAATAGTTTAAAGTGGATACTAGAGTCTATCCATAGAAAAAGTGATTAAAAAGTCATACATGAATTTTTTTTTTTCACTTTCCTCGTAATACTGTGATCAAAAGTTGTAATCTGATCAACGCCCAGTTCTCGAGTGATTCTGGGCTTTGCCGAAATCAAACTGGCTAATCACCAAGTCAAAGCTTTTGACCACATTCATAAACTCTGAACCTATCAAGAACAATATCTCACATTCCTGTAAATGTTTTATACATACTTAAGTAAGTATTATTATTGTTTTTTTTATTAATTGTTAATGTATGATAAATTTATTGAAGTTTTTATTTGAATTGTTCAATGAATAAAGATAAAAAAAATAGACAGAATGTTTTCTTCGTATTATTGATCTCCAACCAATTAACGAACCAAAAAATCGACTGATTGAATCGTACGATCGGCGAAAAACGCTCACTGGATGATATTGAACCAGCTGAAAGAAATTTTGAGATTAGTGTCGATTCTTACGTAGTTCAAGGCGTAGAACCTCAGTGGCGTGGCGTGCTTTGCGATGAATCGACTGATCTTCCATTTAAACCTATGACAAAGGATCGATTAACAGGGTGTTCGCAACGAACACCTTAATAATCGATTCTTCCTCATCGATTCAAATGGGGAAATATCGATAATCGACCATTCACGCCTCACCATTGGATTCGATTGCGCATAGTTGCGAGGCTCCCTGAGCCTAGAAACGATCAAAAACGAGTTTTTTAGACCGGTCGGTGAAAGCTCGCAAATTGCGCGTTATTTCGCCAATCGCGCGATCCAACGGACTTGAAAAGCTTTTTGAACCAGAAAATCGGACTTTCTCAAGTGGAGTAATTCAGTGCCCGATCGAAGAACTTCCAATAGTCCATGTAACTCACCCTGTCGAATTTCGCCGATTTTGGACGGGAGAAAAATTTTGAGATTTGGGCCGATTCTTACGTAGTTCGAGGTTTGTTTCAGTTACCTTAACTTTCAACCTGATAAATGATTCAAAACTGAGGACCAGGGCTGCTACAGAATTTAGAAAATGTATTTCGCGAGCATTTCCCTAACACATTTTGGTAACTTTTCCCTCACCTTTGAAGATATATCAAATGGTTAAAAAGAAATAATTTGAAAAAATAATTCAGGCAAAATTTGTTGTAAGAGACGTTAAACCCATTCTAGAAAGCAAATAAAGGAGACTAGGCAATTAATCCCTGACATTTCTCAGTATTCCCTGACTGCGGTAACCCTGGAAAAAAGTTGATCTTCTGTTTCACTCTGAAACTGCATAAACTAGTTTGGCTTGGACTCGACCTGATAGTGCGTGGATGCTTGCAAGAATGATAAATAAAAAGAATAAAGTAATTACATAGTTTGAAGACTTTATTGTAGCTTAGCTTAAAAATTAAAATATATTATTCCCATAAATTACACAGAATTGCATTTTTTCATTTCTTTTTGGCGTTGCTGCAATTTGTTCTTAGTATAACAAAATTAAAGATACAAAGAGATGATACATACTGTTTTTTTTTCTTTAAAAAAGAGAAGCATTCAATTAAAAATGATTGGGTATATTTACAAGATGAACTGATGGACATATTTGGATAGGTCAACATCGCACATCAAAAGGGTTGATTTTCGATCATGAATTAGAGCTTGTTCATGATCTCTATCACAAGATACTGTACATCCTATGATTCATGGCTAGAATAATTGAGATATGTCAAGTCTACGACTTCAAAACCTATATTTAAAGGAACTTGCGAGACTTTAAAAATTTAAGGTCATTTGTTGGACACTTGGAAGGTCCCTGACAATTAGGGTAAGAAGTCTTGAGATAAGTGCTCAAACAACACAAAATTCACAACGAGTACAGAGTACCATGATAAAAATATGTAGAGCTTTAGAAGAAGATTTTAAAACTTATGGTTACATAACAGATTAGGAGAGGAATGAGAGACCGATCATACCATACCATCTCAATGGATTCCACAGAATCTATTAGGCTTTGTCAACTCCTTCTCAGATGGTACAAAAAATTGTGTCAAAGTTTTAAAATGCTGAGGCAGGGAGGGCTTGAAGTATTATGCCACTTAAAAGTTATAACTATCACAAAGTCCCTGGCAATATGAGTTGTACTTTCCAATGATGATGATAATCACAATTGGAAACTTAACTTGTTAACTTGTGATCCAAGTTAAGAAAATATTTGATAGAAAATTGCTGGGGAAAATACGCCCCGCTCCTTAAAACTTTGGATGCTTCCAAGATCTCAATCTTCATTGAATCCAATTTTTCAAATGCACTAATTTTCGGTCAACTGAAAATAAAAACAGCTCTGGAAGGAATGAGGGGAAGAAGTATCAAAACTTCGGTACTACATTTACTTAAGATGTGGTCCCAATGAGATGAAAGCAGTTAATGGCATCATGATACACACTTTCAGAAAGGATAGTACTCGAAGACTCACATAATAAAACCTATGTCTCTTTTTTTATGATCCAAAGTAGGAGTGTCGTTAAGGCCCAAAATTCTCACCACCGTTGATTTTTGTAACTCCTGAGTTTTTTAGCGTTAGGATGTCTTAATAAAAGAAAATAATCGGTTTTAGCCTATCATTGGATGCCTTCAACAAGACCACTTATTGAAAATAAGGGCCTGAAAGCTAAATATAGTTGTTTCTTAGCAAGAGCACAAAAAATTATTAGATTGATTGATATTTATCAACCTTCCTTGTACTGCAAAAAGGCAAAAAGCTGCAACCTGATATGAAACGTGCACTCTGGTCAGATACGGCATTTAACAAGAAAAATCAACGAAAATTGGCGATTTTCAGCTTACTGACCCATGATTACTGGCCCTATCACCGCAATGTCTGACTGGTGGGATTTAATGACCAGCAAAAACTAATTACATTTGTGAAGTATGCACTTTCTACAGTCAAGAAACGCTGAAGTTACAGAATTCAAGGATGTAGCTGATTGTTTTTAAGCCTTAGCAACACCTCTTCTTTTAATTAACTTTTTTACCATTTTTTTTCTTTTTTTTTTATAAATTTTTAGTTAAACGACACAGGTCAACAACCTGAAAAATCATGTATCACAGCTGAACATAATTAACTCATACTGCACAATTGTACAAAATGGTATTAAATTAACTCTCTATAAAATTACACATCTCCAGTAATATCTGATAAACCGAGGAGTACATATATATAATACATATAGTTACAGAGATTGAAGTATTACTACAGAGCTTAAAAAATTAAGTCACTCAAGTTATTAAACATTACAGGTTCCAAAGTTGCATAAAAAGGATGAGACAGAAAATCTTATAGAAGTTACTTTTCCCGAGAAATTCATTTCCACTAATTTAATTCGTAACCCAATAATATTGAGGCATCAATATTTAGAACCTATTTATATTGGAGGGGAGGGGTGGAGCTCATTTAGCGGAACACAACAATGAAAGTTACATTTGATCATTTTCTTGTAATATTTAACACAACAGATAATTTTAGGAGTTCTTGCTGACGCCTGCGCGTGTGCTTCAACACATGCAGTTTTCTGCGTCGTTCGCTTCTTGATTTCAAGCACACAAAAAAGCCTTTTCTTTCCTCTTGGCGAATTTGACTTCACAGACTATGGCCTAAGAGAGAGTTCATCTTAGCAATGGCAAAATGAAGAGCACCTCTTTTGATTAAAGGTATTTAGAATGAAAATTCTTAGGATGGGTTCAAATTCAAGCTGATTAAATAGCAATATCAACATGGGTAAATTTTGCTATAATAATTGTTATTCTTGACTGAAAGCAAAGAAGTAATAAAAATTATGTCAGAATCGGTAACTTGATCAAAATTAAAATCCTCATGAAGAAGAAAATTATTTTTCAAGGCAACTACGTTGACAGAGAGAGATAAAGAATACGAATATGGTTCATTCGGGCAGTGGCGATTCTTGAAAGTTGGCACCACTGTTTTCCCCCATTCAAAGCCATTTTGAATATCGACTTTAGATATTTTGAATATCTATACTTTGGTGAGGCATTAATGCCTCACCAGAGTATTGCATAATCATATAATATATATTCATTTAAATGGAGGAAAAATAGTGTTTCCAACTTCCAAGAATTGCCACTGCATCCAGGCTTCAAAAGAAAAGAGAGAATCAAGAATTTACAAGTTATTTTTCCTTTTTCTAATTTTTATCAAGTGAAGTGCTTAGCGCAGAAACGTTTCAGGATTCATTTTTGAGAGTTGGTAATATTCAAAGATTAAATGGAGAAACTTTCTTTCTAGATTGCAGAAGCAGACGATACCTCTCGTCACCATAGAAGATTAGGTTATGAACCTGCATTACTGAAAACTCAGCTAGTTCGCAGAATAATCTATTCATTTGTTCATCCATTCTGTCAGGGAGTTAAGTATTCTTTGACAGATGTTTCGAGTGTATTCATATATCGATTAAGAATACATGAAAATTTAAGTATGAGAACGTACACAGTAAAAGTTGAAAGGAAATTCAAATATTTTTAGGAAGCTGTTCGAACCATAAAAAGTTTACAGTCTCACCTTCTATGGAAAAAATGAACTAGCTACACACTAATTGAATATTGGAATTGATTGGTTGGGCTTAGGTTTGAAATCAAATAAAATTTAAAGATCCATGAATCTAATTTATGAGGCATCTATGATGCTGATTATTTTTAATATAAACCCCCCCCCCCTCCTCCTCTCCCATACTTTTGAGTTTTGATACTCAGACCAACCAATTTATCACTGCCGAAAAATACACTGTTTTACCATATGGATCAAGGTACAAACAAATTGATTATTTTTCGAAAATCACCATTCTAAATACCAAATACATCTATGTATCCAAGTAAAGAGGTACACTTAAAAAAATTACAAGTAAGAAATGTGAGCCTGAAGATATACTAAAGTTCAGAGTACAACCAGCCTTTGAGGATTGGCAAGGAATCCGAACAATTAAATGTTATCATTAATAAATAAGGTAGTAATAAATGCATACACTGTTAAGAATTCTTCATAACATTTTTTTAGAGCTATAATCAGTTATTTAGTGAAAAAGTACAAATATCTCAGTGGTAGTTCATGTAAAAACATAGCGGTAGACTGTTGAATAAATTTGGTCCGCTGTAATTGAGGATTTCGGGGTCTTAGTTTTTTTGAAAGTAACCGAGGAACACAGGCGTGCGACTGGTAATCAGGAGACGTTTTTTAGTTTAAAAAATTGATAGGACTTGTGAAAAGTATGAAACATTTCATGCAAACTATGGAAATTGAATCCAACCTTAAAAAATATTATGCACAGAGATGACGAGTGCAAGCAAGTAAGTTAGGAAATTTCAAATTGCACCTAGAGTGAACACTTTGAAACAAGTCAGGAAATCAGCTTTGGTAGCTATGACGCTTTGGCCAAACACAATTACGACTTATTTTGAACTGAATTTACGAGGACTCAATAGGTCAGCGATAATAAAAGCAAAACCCACTTTGGAACAATCAAGGTAGGTTTCAGGCAGTGACAGAGCTAAAAATTTAATGAGAAACAAGTATGAGTACACATTCATGAAAACTACAAACATGCTGAATGATAATACTTTTTAAGTTGACTTCCACACTGAAATTCGCCCGATAAATGACGATTAGAACACTCAGATAAAACAGCACAATTTTTGATAATTATTTACAAATTAAAAAATTATAGGATTAGTGGAGGAATTTTTTCGGGCAAAATTTAAATAAGCACATTGAAATTTCAAACAAAAAGAAATCATGAAAATCTGTTGGGTCATGTAAATAGCTTTTGTGCTGAGCTCCTTTTTTTAATCTCTTTTTTCCGCTGTAATGTCGCTATAAGAGTTATGTTTCCAAAAAATCAGTGGGGTTTGAACTTGCATTGTAACAAGTAATGACCTTCGACACAATAAGAAAACATTTTTAAGTTTTAATGTTTGCGTCAGTGAGAGATGGCTTGAGCTGCCTGCAAATTTAAATGTTAGCTCTCTAATTGGCTGGTTTTACAGTTATACTGAGTGATTCAGATCCCACGCCTCTAGCACCAGACATCGCCTTTGCAACTTTTGAACAAATTGAGATAAAAACTTGGAATTTTGTAAAGGCTCCTAGATCAAAGGAAATATCTTTAAGGAGTCCCCAACATTTTACAAGACCGCCCTGAAAAGGGGCAAGAAATCTAGGAATTATGGAGGTGGTTCAAGACTCTTTAATCACTCTATATTCACACATTTTGCAGGGGGCTGCAAGCTGCAACCAACGAGAACTCAGCTCGAATGAGCTAGACGAGAAATGATCAGTCATGACCAACACTGCTCTCAAAATCAAACACACTAGAGAAAAAGAAAAATTTGACTTTTGAGAAATAAAAGAAGGACAGCTTTATCAACCGAATCGAGAAATTTGAAAAGCCACGTATCTGATAAAGCATGACACTGTAAAAATACAGTGATGTTTTCCACGATTTTAAGCAAAGATAGCACCTCTCTGCAAAATTATATATTCGCATGTGAGATTAAACGCACTATCTGGATTCCAGAGACCAAGATTTCTACATATGCCTTCAGTGCGGACACTCACTTAAAATGGCGGTGAAAGCCTTTTATTTTCCTTTGTCATTCGTAAAAAAAGAATTCATAATGGGTTGAACCCATTTTATGAACAACAAAACATGCTGGAGGCAGAGATTGATTCATACAAAATTTAGATAATACCGACAAGAAACAAACAATTGCTCATTACCGTTATGATTCGTTAATTTTACATCAAATAACAGCCTTTGACAATTTGGTGTTATGCCTTCCTAGTAGTCTCTTAGCAATCAATGAATAATTTACATCTCTATAAATTTAGGGACTAAGAGATATGTAACCTATCAGTGTAGCAATTTTGAGAATGGGATTAACAGGGGAATTTCATTACTAACTTCCAACAGGCACACAAGAAAGAAAGGCTAAAATAGAAAGTACCTAAGGGGCAGTTCTATCACCTCTGGTCAAACTGTCAGTAGAATTTGACAAGAGGATAAACACGAAAGAAGCCTTTTATCACCTCTTGTTACCACAAACTCCTGGTTAAATTTAGCTCGACATAAGGAAAAATTGGAAGATATTTAACAGGTAGTTTGACCACCTGTCAAATGCTTTAATCATAAGTTCAATTTAAATCCTGGTCTCTGATTGGTCAATGCCACATTCAACTGTCGAAGTTCCTTCATCATTTCTTGTTTTTCTTGTGTTCCTCTAAAGAATTGTTCAAGACACATTGTGACATCTGGAGAAGCAGGTTTACGACCGATTTCGGCAGGGAGTAAGTTGAAGTTGGCAGCATTTTGTTACATACTATATTTTTAAGAAAATGGTACAATTTTTACCGAAGGGTAAGTGTGACTGAAAAATGGTGATAAACGGGTTCTTTCATGGCAAGAATATAAACGCTTATCCTCCAGTTATATAGCAAGCAGACTTGATCAGAAGTGATGAAGACCTAAACTCATCAAACAGTTTTGGAATACTTATCAGGATAACTAACACTAGATTGACCGTCTTTTAGAAGAACATTGAACTGATTGGACGAAAAGGAAAACTCACTGTTATAGAAGCAACAGAAAAAATTCTTAAAATGAACGAACTGAATTTCCATTTGGAATCTGAGATTAGAAATCCAGAGGAAAATAAAAATCTGACAAAAACTCAAAGTGTAAATAAAATTAGATAGATAAAATCTGTTTTAAAAGAATGATCAACTAACATGATAGCGATAAAATGTATTAAAATTATCGAGACAATTCTGATAAAAATTAAAAAAATAACGCAACATACTTGAAGTAAAACTACAAATTTTCGCAAGTTGAAAAGAACTACATTGAGATTATTTACAAATAATTTTATCTTCCAAAATAAAGAGACCATTTCATTAACACTTGGTTGCAACAAAAAAGTGGAGGGGAGGGGAGGGATTTGCGAGTAAGAATAGCTCATAAATGCCCGGATAAAACTAATCAAGATTCACTTGAATGACAACTATGCTGTTTTCTGTTTTAGGTGTTTGTTTCTTTTTCTTCATAAATTTGAGAAGAGGCGATAAAAATTGGGAGCTTTGGACTAACTTAGGAAACTTAAAAAATACGATTCAGTTCGGTTATTTAACAAAATTTGTGCGCAACTGTTCCATTAAATGATAGCAATTCGAATTGAGGTCAATGATTTTTAGCAGAATTCCACAGCAGCTGATCTACCCAGGTTACACAGATACACAAACAGCTAATTAAATTGCACCTTTGTACTCATGGTCCCTGGAATTTTACAACTACCATAACATTGGCAATATTACTCTACGTAATCCTTAACTTTAATGTCAGTCAAAACTAATTGCACGATAATTATTACCTTACTTTAACTGAAATAAAATTTGTCTTACAGGTAAAATTTCAAGTAGAAAAGAAAGGTTACAAATTTACCCCTCCCCCTCCTCCCACCTCCCACAAATAAACAGGAAAATCATATGGACCGAATAGATTTGAAGCATGAAACATGGGTGCAAAATGTTTTGTTACGCGCTGTGGAAGCTGAGAAAATTCCCTCAAAAATTCAGAAAACGAAGTTCATTGGTTAACATTACTAAGTAGAAACTAATGGGGTAAAATATGAGGATGTGAAAATTTTGAATCAGTCGAAACTAGCAGGAAGTTTGGGAGTTTCATGATTTCATAGACTGAGTGATCACACTTACTTCTCCAGGGGGGCTAAGACTCATTGAACTTAAAGTAAAATTGGTACCAGCTTCAGGAATGAAAAATCAAGCTTTCTTTTAAGAACTTTCAGTCATTTTTCACAACCTCCGAGGAAAAGAGCCGTAAATGCATTCTGGGATAAGCCACAAGACGCATAAGAGTATGTGCTAACCGTGGCTCACACAGAAATGTACTTACAGCTCTCTTCCGTAATGCAGCAGAGTAATTTCTTTCACAGTGCCTAACCAGAATTAGAATTTTGAACAGTCAAATCCACCTATCTTGTTCTAAAGAGATAAATTCAGAGAGAGATACCAATCAATCAGAAAACAAACAAGTTATAACCTAACAAGCAATTACAAAAGCTAAGGGGGTGCAAACTTTAGCGAAGTCGAGTGCAAAAATATAGAAACGATTAAAAAACAAGTTCAACCTCAAAACACAGGCGGCAAACTGAGAATCCCTATTGCTCAATTAAGTTGGTTTGATAATGCATGGCTGGCCACAAGCTTCATAAAGAGAGGTGCCTGAGTTGACAAATCCTGAGAACTTCATTGAAGATTCAATAATTGAGATCACAAGGAAAACGCCCTCTATTTCATCAGGACAGAAGACTGACAAAAAAAGCTGACAGGTGATGTGCCGAGGTCTGATTCCTCTCTGTACTTTTCCATGGTTCCTGGCAGCGTTGCACACTATGCACATGGTCACAGCTTTTTCTACCCGCATTCTCTGTTACAGCAAGTTTTCGAACATTTCTGTAGTGGTTTCAAGCCGTGACGAAGACATTCTCCCCCCCCCCTCCCACCAAAAAACCCCCCAGAATAAATTACAGAAACCTTCAATAGCTCCTTCATGAGAGGAAAAAAGGAAAAAAGTTTAAAACGGACAAAGGCAAAAAAATTCTGAGGGTACTCGTTTGATGAGCCTCAGAGTTAAGTATTGTAAGAATATCAAAGCTGCAACAACAAAGCACTTAATCAAACATGTTCTTAAAGGGGAAAAGGCGGGACAGAGTGTGAAGGGGGCTGAGTATTTGTGAATTCCATAATATGTTCCTTGCCAAGCTCACACAGGTCCGATTGAGTTTCATCGTTATTTCAGAATCATGCCATTACTTCATTGCTTAGCTGTTTAAAGATTTACCATTATTTGGAAAAAATCTGGAATGAATGGGGGTGGCTATCAGATGGGTATTAAAAAGTTCTTAAATCATGACTCTTTACACCAAGATAAGGAGATCCTTTAAGCTGTACTACAAAATTGGTCACGATGCTTACATTAGAATATGATACTGAAAAAAGCAAGTCTCGCTAAGGCAGGTTAGCGTTTTTGGGGTTAAGCTTAGGTACATAGTTAGTGCAGATGTTAGGGTTCTTTCCGACAGGCAGATCTTACAAAATCTTTGAATTTAAGTTCTTGGGAATTTGAATCTTATACTATACTATTCCAGTATAAAAGTGCAAAAATATGTTTACTTATCCTTGTTTAAAGCAGATGTAATTCGAGTACATGCAACTTTCAATTACCAAATAAACGAATGAGGAACGAAACATCATTAATAATTGAGACTGCTTTTAGGCCCTGTCTTTTTCCGACAAAACTTCTCTGCAAAAGTAAGTACCTTTACAATGTTTTTAACACTAACTAATTAGAACTAATTCGACTGATAACAACGTTCCTCCAAAGAAGTGTGTCAACATAGCACCGCTGAGGTCCTGAGTTCTTGCGCCTTGATATGTCATTGGGTGTATCATGCATCTGAAATGCATTACATGCTTTTTTTCAGAGCTTATCAGCCTTAAATCTTGCTAGTTAAAATATAAATGGCACCCCATAAGAACCTTTGAGCAACGAATCCAAGATTCGCCTGTTGAAACGATAAATTTGGACTAAGACACTGTTACGAGAAAACAATTTAGTCCTACCTAAGCAAGATGAGATAGATTTCTTAAATTAGTATAAATGCATGAAAAATAGATGAGAGATAGATCAAATTAAAAAAACTTCAGTTTTAATTTAAGGCCCTCTCTCTAATCCCTTCGACAATTTGTGAAAGAATATTATCAATTATCCATTCACACAACTTAATAAAAGAAAACTGCAAAACTTTCCGACATGATGATCTAAGTTCAGAATGCGACAGAAAAATACAATCTTAGAAAAGATGAGCTGGCGGGTCTTCTTAAGTTTCAAATAGCCTGCAAAGTTAGCTAAAACAGTCCGAAGAGCATATGAAACAATACTTTTCCTTGTATCGGGAGAACACTTACAAAACAAACACCTTCAACATTCAAATTATACTTCACACTAATTCGTGTAAGTCAAGTCCATGTGATGAAATTAAGCGCAATAGAATCCTCACAACAGGATTTCTGGCCCGTTATAAGGAGATATTTTTCAAAGTTTTCCAGGTTTTTCTTATCAAACTGAAATTTTCCCTGACTTCTCAGCAGAAATATCTTATATACTTGACCCTAAATTAGATAAAACAAGCACAATAAAGAGTTTATGTTGGAACCTACATTACAGCTTATCAATCAAACCAAATAAAGCCCATGAGTTCTGAATATTTTCACACAGAGCAGGTGACAAGATGTTTTTGGCTCTTTGGAAACGCGGCAGTTTGAAAGGCAACTTACAGTCACAGCTTTTCCATATTCAAATTGTTTGCTTATTTTTCCCATTTGCATTCTTTTGAAGCAACAAATGTCATGTACCATAGATCACTGATCTAGATTATTAGCCGAACAACTTATATTAATGCGAGTTTCAAGATTCTGTAAAACTAATGTCATAAATCATGAGAGTATGAAAGGCATGAATGAAATCCAATAGCTACAACGACCCTCAAAACTTTACGATAAATTACGATAGTTCATGCATGAAAATGAAATAATTGAATCATGGTGGGAAAAGACCTTAAGTATTGCAACGATTAGAAGGTTCAACTGAGAGAAAATTCTAATGGATGTAACTTCTCTGCTTATTAGGGAAGAGTTCAATCAAAATTAAAGTTCAGGAAGATGAGACACTCGGTGCTGAATTTAAATGTCAACAGCTGAACGATGAGGCACTTGGATTAAGATCCAACGATAAACAAAACTTCTCAACGGTTCCATTTCTTACGAAATACGACGGGTGCCGAGTGCGCTTTCCTCAACTTTAACGGCAGGTATTTGCAATGAAGCAACTAACGCTACTTGATAAAACTACTTAACAAAATTGCCAAATTTAACAGCTGACTGATTCTTTCGAAGGACGATGAGAATCAGCGGGTTTCTTGGTACAATTTGGCAATCATGCCACTAAAACAACAGATATACTTACATCAATAAGATCAACTTACAAATAAATAAATAAATACAGTCGTTTGGCATAAATACATTTTACACTTTAACATTTAAAATCGGTAAACTTCTATCACAGATTTCAAAGATTTATCTCTTTAAAAACGAATGGAAAAAGAGAGAAAAAATAATAATGGTACAATGTTCGGCTAATTAGTACAATATTATTTTTGAGCGAACCTCATTCTAATGCAAGTGTTAAATTGTATGACTTGCTTAGACGATTTATCAGATTAACTCGCAGACTCTGAAAAGAGGATAGTCAATTATTTACAAATAGAAATCAAGATTTTATCTGAGAGAAATAGATACATAAAACCTTACGTAGAATATTTGAAGCACTTAACTATTAGTGTGAATGACTTACTAGAAAATAACTTTTTGATACATCACATTACACAAGAACGAAAATTGGTTAGTCATCAGCAAAATTTACTCATCCTATGATGAGTAGTTTGCTAATATATTTCATCGTACAGCTATATTAGATCCAAAGATTAGATAACAGTTTAGAGACAGCTGAGAACTCATGCATTCATTCTGAAACACTATTCCCTAGAAAAGATCAGCTTAGAATAACCTTTTATGCTTGTGGTATCGACTGATACGCAGCAACCCTGTCTTGTACACGTTGAGTTATAATTGCACTCTACTTATACGACTTACGCAAGTGGTGAATTTCATGCAAGAGCACCTCGAGTACTACCAACTATTTTCAGGCATTGTTCCAAAAATTTAAGCTACATGCTAATTTTGAGGGAATTTATTAAATATGAGACACGTGTAGGAGGAAAAAAAATATGCGAGACATAGATCTACTCTTGCATCTTAAAATGTTCTTGTAAGATAATTTGTCACTGAGCAAATAAGATCTATTTTAAGATTACACCTTGAAATTGGAATATCAGAGGTGAAAGTCAAACAGCAGTCAACAGCAGCTGAAATAGCAATTGTCTGCTAAGACAGCTCCGAAGTTTTGCGAGTGAAATTGGATACCAAGTTGGTGTTTTATAGTACACTGACAGGGTTGCCACAGAGTTTAGAAAATGAAATTATCCGAAATTTCCCTGATTTCTCTGTCACGTTGTGATAAAGTTCCCTTACAATTGAGGATGCACCAGATGCTTAAGAAGACATGATTTGCATTGGCTTTCAGGCAAAATTTATTGTTTGAAATGTGAAACCCATTCTAGAAAGGAAATAAAAGTGACTAACCAATTTTTCCCTGACATTCCCAGTGGTCCTTGACTGTGGCAACCGTGCTTTGACCAACGCAACTTGGGCATACTCTAGTTGACATTAACACTACAAACACTCGAATAACACAGATTCATAATATTTCATAACCATAGCTTGAGACAACTGATGACAGTATCATGGTCTTAGAACTGTGCAATGGTTCTGTTTCAGACCTAGAGGTTGAGCGCAAAATGAACTGGTGGGCTTACAGGACCGGCCTGTCACCACATGATTAAAAAAATCCCAACCCTGGGCCTCACACCTAAGTTGAAAAACTGGAGCATTTATAAATAAAGCAGAACTAAGATGCAAGAGGAGACCTTACACTTGGTACAACTCCAGATGCTGGAGATCATACTTGCCTAATTATTTTTAATAGATCCATTCGAAAATTTTGTCCTATGGACATCTTTCAGGCAAATATGCCCTTTTGTCAATCAGATTTAGATGGTCTGTTGCCAAAAATTTTCAGGTCTTGAATTACTGCGAACTGCGTCAATAGTCAGGGCTATATCTTCATCATAAAATTTCCATTGCTTATAGCTCAACACGGTGCCTACCACCTTGGTCGAATCGACTGGTTTTGATGTGTTTTGTAGGAGGCCAAACAACAATCAGCCCTCGCACGGCCCATTTTCAGAATCTGGATTTTTGAAGGGCATTCTTAATGTGTTCCCATGGCTCAGCGGGAGATAAGTGCAAAAACATTGTGGTAGGCAACGTGTCGAATATTTAGCAGTAACTAGAGAAACAACAAGCTGACTCTAACTGTACCTTACAGGGGAGGAAATACTCTCGTTTGTGTACTACTGATGAAATTAAACGCATTGCGAATTATTTCCAACAAAAACCCAAACGAAAACATCCTTCGTAATGACATTAGGTCATCAAAAAAAAAAAAAAAAAAGGAAGAGGGTAGGTAGAGAAGTATTAATTGAGGAAAACTTCCTCAAGACTTACAGGTATAAATAATTGGGTCTGAGAACCAGTTGAAATTTTCAATTTCTCTATGAAGCTCAACACATGGAAAAAATATTTTTTATTTGGTTGTGAGCATGAATGTTTGCTCGAAAGCAAAACAATGGGTCTCTTGAGAGTTGATGAAAGAGCAATATAAATGAAGCAAAAGGTAGGGAACCCTTGGTTATGCCAGTGAGTACCCTGACCTGAGTCTTCAAAGAGAAGTCAGAAGTAATGAATTGTAGGAATTGATCGAAAAAGCAGTTTAACAACAAAATTATTCGTTACCTGTGGAGAACTTGACACCGAGTGGCGCAAGTATCCTCAGGTTCAAAAATGATTCAACAAATAAATTAACTATGAAATAAGATAAGATTATCTAGAAAAAAGTTAACATCAATTAGAAGGCTGAACGACCTTGTGTGCTTGAGATCCGCTAACTTTAGAATGGATATTCTCACCTTGAGAAGATTCATCGTACCCTGAGTCTGATGAAGCATCGTTGAACACTTTACCAGGGTCAGCTGCTGCTATGTGTTTGTCGACCACGGTTTCTGGTCGAGGCATTACTGCTGGTGCTACAGGCAGTTCTTCCACCTTCGTTGCTACTGGTGTCATCTCTGACGGTCTATGCCGCTTGCTGCAGGGCGTCATGAAACGTGGATCGATCATTACAGCACCGCAGGGGCCTTCAAATATTGTTCCGCAACAAACCTTGACCCTGCAAAATAAAAAAGACCCCATAAGAATTTGATCTTCAGTGAAGATTGAGTATCATAACTACAAGCTCTTCGAACATGGTGTATAATACTAAACCACGTTCATACCCTGATTTTTCCCTAATATTCAGAAGCTTGTTCCCTGGTGAGGGTTCAAAGTTTTCTCCCACTTAGCCAGGATTTTTTTGGGGAAGAAACTAGATTTCTCTCCCGAGTTCCAGCGATGTAAATGAATTTTTTTATCTTTATGTTAATTCTTTGGCGCATATACAAATTTTTAATTCCAAGAGCGTTTCTGGTGTATACATTATCTGATCAATGAAAGATTCTGTAATATTCTGATGATTGGAAAGTTCATGAGGTTAATGATACCAGCTCAGGTATAATGACATAAACCTTGATAGCAACAGATGCTTAAAAGTTCCTCTCCACAATTTATTTGTACAGAAACGACCTCACAGTCAGTATGAATGACTGTGGTACAAAGATAACTTGGAGAAAATTCAAATGAAGTTAAAGGGAGACATTAGTCTCTAAACGGTACCAAAGATTCCTGGTTACTGGTCCAGAATCCTTGAATTTTCTTGAAATTTTTCATTCCCTGATGCATCCCGGTTTTTCTCGGTCTTAAGACCATGCTTAAGTTCTTTGAACCCCAAAATTTTCAATTTTCTTCGCAGTTCGTTCTAATGTTCTTCGGGGATCATTTCCATGATTTTTTGAGATATTGATAGGATATATCCTCTAGATGAGCCTGCTCTATTCAGATTTTGGAAATATAATCCAGGATTTTTTATGTTACATGAAAAAGTTGTGCATTCTCCCATTTCAACAATGGAAATGCTCACTGTTTTGTCAAAGTTCGTTCTACATGTTCTACCTGACCAATTTTTAAGATTTTCGCCATTATCAATAGATGATATTCCCTAAATGAGCCCACTCTATTTAGATTAACTCACAGGGACCCGCAAAGCCAGCCGTAGAGAGCGCAAGCGCTCTCTGAGGTGTAGGGCCAAGCCACACAGCGGCCAGCAGTCGTTGTTTCATAAGGATTTAACTTTGCCAGGGTTCACCACAGGGATCTAATACTGAAATCTCAGAGTCGTAGAATCAAGTGTTGGTGGGTATTAATCAAATTAGAGCTAAAAATGTGACCATCCATGGAGAGGGATATTGCTAGTTAAAAACTCAAAATTAAGTCATTGTCAATGAAGCTGATAGTAGATTTTTATAAATATTTGGGCATAAAAAAAACCTGTAAATATAAAACCAAATTCTAGCAATGTCTGTTTGAAGTCCTGAGTCAAACATACGCTTCAAGGGGAAAAGAAGCTTAATTTACTGTGTTCTTTGATTCAACGGTGCATTTAGTCTTGCACGTCGTAAATTATTTTGAACTATCTTCTAATATCAAGAAATTTCTTATTGATTAGACGATGAACTGGATAGTCTGGGGATTTTTCCTGAAATAATATTAAGTTAAAATAATTTTTTCTTACTTTTTCCACACTGACATATCAATGAAATCACTGACAGGAATACCGCTCGGTTTACCGTTCAGACGAGAATGTTTCAACGGGTAAGCTTCTTCACTTGGCGTAGGACTCGGTGATTCACAATCATTACCTGAAAAGAGAAAAGCTTCAATGAAGTTCAAAACAACCACAGTATATTTCTGGTCGGAATATTTTCTAACATTCTCATCTATCTTCCCGACCATACGCATGAAAGCTACACAATTCGCATCTGTAGTATGAATAAGTGAATCTTGTTGTAAAGTGTAACACAGTGTGTGCATAGTCAACGGTCTGGTAACATCTCATTGATGCCTGGTATCAAAGCCTGTTGATTATTCACATGTGGTCAACGCAGTTCGCTGCCAAAACTGAGGTCCTGGGTTCAATCCTCAGAGGTGACTGATATATAAGGACACTCAAATGTCAGTCATCAAAGATCATGGATGACTATGCCACTCCAATACCCTGACCCTTCGAGGTAGCATGGTATGGGAGGGACGTAGTCACCCAGTAAGTAATCCGTCTGCACTGTTAGACTGGGTTGTGAAAAAAAATCAATGATCACTCGTAGTGTACGCGACTGCCAGCGCTACCTATCAGTGGAGATTGTAACAACACAGTCCAACTCGGTGGAGGCATGGCCATGCTCTGAAAATCCGTGCTCTGCAGCGTCTGCCACAGTCTTTGATAAGACCTACCGATGACTATCAGACGGCCGATGAGCCTTGCGGTTATATAGAGGATACACAATGTGTCAATAGTACGAAGTTAAGGAGCACGGTCCAACTTTGGGGTGCACTATGGCAGGGTTCCTGCCAGTTGCCTTGGCCCCTTGAGGGCGCCTCGCCGGTCAGCCCTAGAGTCCCTTTATACTGAGAGTCAAGACAATTCGGCTCATGGATGTCACAAACGGGAATAAAGATTACAGAAATTGAACGTTTTTCGTAATCTTTGATCGGCCCATTCTCAAATGCCTTTCTCCGTTCCTCCTCTCATTCCGTTTGTTCCTTGCCGAACTCGTAATTCCCTGGTCCATTCCAGATTATAATCTTTGCAATTGGTGAAAATGTAATCTTTATTCCCGTTTGTGACACTGTGGAGGCCTAAAATACGGGAACCAATCAGAAATGGATTCAAATTGTCTTGACTCTCAGTATAAAGGGACTCTTGTCAGCCCGGCCTTTACTGATTATTCACATGTGCATGTTCTTACTTAAGTAGGACTGAAATCTAAGCAGCAGATCACGTTTTTTCACTTCTCAAATACTTCAATTCATGAAATATGCAATGCTCTAAAAAGGGAGGAGGGGATCTGAGCCAACATTACAGGGGGGAAGAGGGGTGTCCAGGGCTACATTACGCAACGCTAGAATGGAAGCATAGCAATCACTATTTGAGAATCTTAGATGCACGAGGCAGTTGATTTTCATTCTAAATTCATCACAAACCACTAATTTGAGGTGAAGGGGGGGGGGGCGGCGGCAAACTGACTGTTGAGTGGTCTCAATAGTTTTAAAGTAACATAAAATCTTACCGTTTGAACTACTCACTATCTACCAAAGAAAAGTAGATTGTAGGAGTTCACCAGGATAGGTCTTTATAGACCTCGAGTTAGAGTAGATTGTCCAGTTCACCAGGATAGGTCTTTATAGACCTATCCTGGTGAACTGGACAAATCTAACCCCTAATCAGATAACCTGCATTCCATGCTGCTTAATTTTCTTTCATCATTTAGATAAAAAACTAAACAGCGTTTGTTCTTCAAGCTCCCTGTGAGTTACCTTAAGATGATAAAGGGTATCATCAAAAAGTTACAAGACACAGTATTTTCTGGCTTTCTGTTGAAAAATGACAGCCTGAGAGAAAATAAGGGAATGACGAATGCGGTTGAACTGATTTTGGTCAGCTTCACAATGAATTTTACCGTGGGTAATTATGATTACTTACAGAGTTACATAAATACTTGAGCGTGATGTTAGAACATGTAAAAAGAGAAAAATTAAAGCTTGTGATTTTAACGGTACTAAATAGAATAACCGATTTCTTCTTGAATGATGAGTAAATGACACTTACCATCTAGGTCTTTCAAGCCTAAAGATGTAATACTCGGGTCTACTTCCATTTTCATAACTTCATCTCCATTGGTTAGTTTCTCTTTTATCTTTTTCTTTTTATTCTTTGACGATTTCACCTTGGATAGTGTCCGCGTTCCTGGTCCAGCTCTGGCATCAACAACCTGGCAAAACATAGGAGGAAAAATTACTAACTAACTAACTAACATGTCGCTTTGACAGCACTTGTTCTCAACTTAGACCCTTTCAACCCTTCAGACCCATGATTAGGCCAGTGTTAGACTTGAAAAGAGACCGAAAATGACTGAAGAATGATGCATTCCGTAAAATATTGACCTTTAATAAGCAAAAAATCGGGGAGTTGCGGAAATTTAGGGTTAAAATCGCTCCTAGACTTTCATTAAATGGGAGAACTTTCTTCTGCTTGAGACAGCAGCTAGAGATGAATTGACGACCAAGCAACTACAAGAAAATTTCAGATCTTGCTGCATTGAGTGCTTTTGCCTAGATCCCTAGGTTTATTATCATTCTGTTCATCTTGTTTGTGATTAAAGCTGAAGTGAATAAAGTTAGAGGAAAAATCACTCACATGCTTCCAATTCCGTTCACTATTCTCAGGAAGATTTCTCCACCTTTTGACCAACAGAACGCACGCATTGCAAACTTCCCCGGTTCGCTTCTCTTTGAGTTCAAAGCAAGGTTCGAATGCTTCTTCATACTTCTTGCTGTCAGTGAACCTGGAGCTGGAAAAAAAGAAAGAAAAACCTGTGAGGAAACTGGAAGTAGCTAGAATGGACTCAAGGTAAAATCAGAGGAATGATTTGCAGAAAAATACTTCAATTACTAAATTTTGCTTGAAATCGCCTACTTAATGGGGTACTGATTTCGAGAAGAGCCTACTGACAGTAAATGCTTAAGAGCTAATTAGGAACGAAGAAAATTTTCCTAATATCATTGAGTCTGAGCAGTAGATCAGGCACCTATCTCTTATGAGTTATTTTCTAAACCTACAGAAAGAACTGAGCTTTTGGGAATTTTTCAAATTTTTGGTTAGGGGTTTTTCCCCTTAAAAATTATTTCATGAACTTTTTGGTTTTTTCACAAAATTTTGATGAGAAAAACTAGACTACACTCTGCAAAATTCTTAGCCACTATCGCATTTAATCTACGGTCAGTTACTCTTAGTATGACTATTCAGTTTGCGACAATTTAAGAGTAAAAGGCCAAGATTTACCTCTTGAATAGGATTTGATTAAACAAATTAATGTTTGTACAAATCAAATAGAAGTAAAATGACAAACGCTACACCTCGAGTTACATTGGGGGGATTCTTTAAGCCAAACTTTTTAATTTATTTCAAGCATTAGTCCAGTAAGTAGTTACAAATGAGTTTTCAAGAGAAGTATGATGGCTACTTTCTTCATTGAAAGTGATCAAAAAGAGGCTGTGGAAGAAATTGTTAGGAAAACACGATGAAAAAGAGACAGATTGTTATTCAAAACTCATCTGAGACTTGAGTCATGACAGACTCAAGGTTGTTGACACAGATTGTTTTGAATATCTATGGCAGTAACCTTGAATCAGTGCAGTGTGCCTGAGCTGCACTGCCAAGGCATTCACAGTGGCCAAGGCGAAGGTGACTCAATTTCCAAAGCCGAAGTCATCCTCATGCCAATTTCTTAAAATCTCACTCTACGGATTCCTACTAATTACATTTTTTCAACATTTTTCGAGGAGGGGAGAGAAACAAATTTTATTAAGTTTTCCTTCCTTCAATTCTCTGATCTGTTCCTGATTCCAACATTTTCAAATTCTCTAACTTTCCCATTTCCCTTTGAACAAAAGTTCCTTTAAATTATTTCCTTTAATTTACTCTGACTTTCGCTAAACTTAGGAAGAACATTCCATTTGTGAAGATTTGAATGATGAAAAAAGGCACCCAGAATGTTGTTTGCATTCTTCCGAATGGCACCAACTGAGGTTTTCCAGTTGATACGGTACACGAGAAATTCCCTGAATTTTAGAAGTCGCTGTAAATTTTCAGGCTGCTGGAAACTAAGGCGTCCCTCTGGGATATTAAACACATTTAAGAGGTAAAAAAATATGACAGGAAAATCGGAAACACTGCTGGGTTTCTTAGTTTTTTCCTCTTCTTTTCTTCAGTACCCAACTGCCTAAATCAAAAAATACCAAAGATTCAGCAAGAACTTGGAAACTTTAGTGGGAAACACACTATAACTGAATCGTATGATTCAGACTGTTCTATCCTCAAAAAAAAAAAAAAAAAAAAAAAGCTACATATTTTCGTAGGGAAGTAAGCCTGACATTAAACTAGGTTAGATATTTTATATGAGAGGCTAATGCTTACGTACCTGCTTGATTTGGCTCGGCAAATGCAGCACCCTTGCGTAGATCTGTAAACTTTAGGTTTATGAAAATTGAACATCTTGAGGTGTCAACTTTACAATACACTCAATGACAAGAACCTGAAAGTTAGAGAAGAGAAAAAAAGATTAAGATGTGATACACAAAATGTTCAAACAAGCACAGCTTTAGATATTTCTTCTGTCTAAACTTAAAAATACATATTGAATAGAACATGAGAGATGAACACAGGGGATGGACATACAAAGTGCAAAAATAATATGGTTCCTGAACGACAAAGATTGCTAAGGCCGGAAAATATGCCTGGAATCACAATCAAGACCGATCTACACAGGTCAGTCATTCCCGAGGACGAGTTTCGGAACTCTACTGCGCAGTGACGTAGTATTGAGTGCTTACAATGTATTTCTTATGGGAGCACCCATTGTGACATAGCATTGAGTGCGGCCGAGTTAGGGCCGGGAGGGGAAGTGGATCTCAAAAAGATGCGCAATGACCGACCTGTGTGAATTGGTCTTGATCACAATATTTCAAAAACTCCATGTATGTTTCATGTCCTCAAAAGAAAACAAACCATAATTATCTCTTTGAAATTTTCTGTGAATATTTGTGAATGAAAGAAAAAAAATCACCTTAAAAGATAAAACTGATAAGTGATTGTAAATAAATTACACATAAACATGTGCTCACTGCTTAGATTTGCAGTGACATATTTAGGGGTCTATACACATGTCTCGACTATAAAACAGCCTTCATGGAGACACTGTTGCCACTGAAAAAAGATGGATAGACGGTCAATTCCATTGCATGCAGAAGTCTTCCTTGGAATTTTAAAGCAATGCCTGTCCTTGAACAGTATGGAGAGGCAGTTTCAGCAGCCTCGGTTTACCCCGGGCTGTAGCATCATTGATAAGTATGCCTACAGGAAGCAGTCGGAGGTTCGAAAACCATTAAAACCAGGCTGAAGTGGGACAACACTAACCTCATAAAATCGTAGGAAACGATTAAATCTCACCGTCAGGTTGGTGATGAAATGATTCTGAAACTGCACAAATGACTTTTAAAACGTTGACCTCAAATCCTTCACGTACTTCTGACAGCCTCCAAAGGAAAAACACGTTTGGACTATTGCAAATTTAACAATGAGGTGCAAACACTGGCATTATCAAAGTGAAATGAGTGAAATACTTAAAACCCTCCAGGATTTGCAGATGCAGATTAAACCACAATGGTGGAAACTGGATAGTCATGGTACGTCACGAATAAGGAATGGGAGGAACAATAAATCTCTTTAGCAGCTGGAGACAGTGCTTCAATTTACGGTGAGGCTTCAAGGAGCAGGCGCTTCAGCTTTGATAATGCGAAAGGAAGTTGAAAGACCAAGAATGTTCTTCTATGTAAAATCAGCAGGAGAATGAGATGGTAAAAAAATTCTGAGCCTAAAACAGTGAGGATTAGGGGTTGGGTGACAACTTAAAATCCACACCTAGGCAGGAAAAATTACTACCATGGCAACATGACATTGGGATAGACAAGAGGATAGATGACATGAATTCAAAGATATCAACAGAAAATAGACAGCGGAATCACTTCCTACAATATTGTCTGAGGTGAACTTCAAGATGGGTCTCCGACTACTTGCATGATGTAACAATACAGCCAAATCCAAAGGCTAATTCATGAAACTTTAACATCCTTGACATTGACAAACGAGGAAAATTTTCGAAATGTAATGGGCAATCAGAGACAATACAGAGATTCTGAGAGTGGTGAGAGGATACCATGTATGACCATAAGGAGCAATGAAAATGGTTGCCATGAAATACTCTCAGCCTATTGAGTAGGTAAATGGGAGGAAAGCATATCACTCATATCACAAAAAGAGGGCAAACAAAAAATTAATCGTTTTTCGAGCTTGGATCAATGTGAGGGCCTAGGTGACAAATCAAGAGCATTTAATGGAATCAAATCATTCACTATGAAACTCCTGCTACATGAGATGCCCAGCTCAACAGGCCACAAGGAACCCACTAACATAAAATGATTTTCTGAGACAGAACAAATAAGCATCAATGGTTAAGTCCTCACCAATCCAACTTCAAACATACCTACATTAATTCACGAATTAGAGCTGAACAATGTCAAAACAGAGGAAAGACACAAAATATTAAAAAAAGCGAAATGGACAAGGTCGGGATGACTTGGTGATAGCTGATGGCTTGAGAAACGACCGAAGCAGTTTCTTCAACTGAAGCTGGGAGGAACTCACACGATGACAGGAGAAATTCGTGAGTCAGATCGAGGTAAAGTGCACAAATAAACTTACCTGATAAATGCACCACAATTCAAACTTTAAACAGGGACTGATGTCGACAGTCTCGGCAGCCCTAATTCTATCGCGATTCACACAAAAACATGCGTTCGTCTCGAGTTTTTTCTTGGCCTATGACGCTTTGCTCTGTTTCAAATTCGAACAGGACTGAAATTGAAAAAATTCATGAGTCAAACGAAAGCGGATGGGACACGCGAGAAATTGTATTCTAGACGGATGAAAATTACACCTCAAAAACAACCACGGTAACAAGTGTCACAAAATTTATACAATTTGAGTAAAAGTATATTATTAGGAAGGAAATAAGTAGTACAGGCAACGAAATTCAACGAATCATGTCCGCCGTCGGCCATCAGCTGATGCTCACAGGAGATCCAGGATGCCACTTGCTCCAAATAACGAACAAATGGTTTTTTTCAAAAAACAACGTCTGTTTTCTAGAATTTGATGCTGCATTATAGTGTAAAAATTTCCTAGATAAAAGCCGATAATTTATCTGAGATTAAAAGTTTCAGAACCTAAATTTCTGCTGATAAACTGGGATAGCTCACAATCATCACAACTTTGTCTTGTCAGTTTGCAAGCTTGCTTATTGCCGCGCCTCGCGCCGATTGGCGGGCTCAGCAACGAAGCAAGAGGCGGGCTTTTTGAATTTTCGGATAGCGTCACGCGCTCGCGCACGCCAATAATCACAAGTATTCACAAGGTGTTCTGTCGAGGTTTCCTGCTTTGGCACATTAATAACTATTAAATTTAAAACATTTCACGAACTCTTACATTTTATAGTACTTTTAAAAACATGCATTATTTGAAATTTAAAGAATAATTGCTTTGAGCCAAACTCTGCAAAAATTATACTTAAATATAGGTAGCAATTATTTTCTCTGCCTAGATGAGAACTTAGACCTACAGGGTGTCCGAGGTCATTCTTACCAGGCTGTTTTCGCACCTTTATTTATTGTTAGAAAAAGGCAAAACTGTGGAGAAAAATGGGAAATCGATTCAAAGGAATCCCAATATCATCAGCCCAAAGTCCCCTGTTTCCCTTGCGTGAAAAAAGGGTTCCTGCATTTGAAAATCAGGATTCTTGCCAGGACATTATTTTAACAAAAGCAGAAAGTACAGAAAATTGTTATTTCAATTGGCACCAAAAATTACAAAATGGATTTAACTCTGTCCAAAATACTGACTTTTGAAGTGAGGGTACAGTTTCCCCTTAAATAAAATGCCGAGGTTGCTAAATTGATGAAAGAGCCAAGGGAAAAGGTGCATTTCATGGGTAAGCAACTCCAAGGAATTCAAATCTGAATAAGCGTGAAGCCCCAGAGATCCTCGCTGATGGGGCACTGTACAAAATTCAAAAGGAAGTTGAGCATCTCCCTCTATCCCAACAGCGAAACTTCAAAAAAATTAAATTCACTACATACAAGTATGAGCAATATATCCTTTCTCCCCATACTCATAAGACAGTACTGATACGTTTATTAAGTATACTTGCAATCCACTTCAAAAATTTATCATGATCGTATGATTTGCATACGTTTGTGAAAAATAAATCCAGAAGTTTTAACGTTCCCAGAGTGCATCACACTAAATTGGATTGTATTTAGCAAAAATGAACCAGGAGCATACCAATGTTGCTAGGATTGTGAAATTTGTATTCTTTGCAAAAAAATTACTGTGAAGTCATGCAATAACTTAACTTTTCAAAGATAATTGTCTTCTTGACTTTATACTTTATATTGGGAGTAAAGATAAAACTTGCTAGGATGATCGGTTTATATTTGCAAGGTAAAAAAAGTTGCATCGTTTTGGCAACATTAGAATGCTCTTGATCCCTTTATGCAAAATGCAATCCAACTGTTGCAACCTTATACAACTCTAGTAGGGCAGTCACTACAAGTCTTTAAAAATGCTACCATCGACAAAGACTCAGAATAAAATTGGCTTTCTTCTGCTGTGCAGAAAATTTGGTCAAACTTAAAATGCCTCTTTTATGTATTCACTTTCTGAAGTGCCTGAACATTCCAAAGATAATCTTTCATTTCAATAGATTTCCTCTGTAGCCATTACGGCTCATTCGATCATATGTGATGTAATTCTCATTTTTTTCCAAAGAGCCAGAAGTCTCAGAAAAAATTTAATCTCTTAGCAGTTCAACTCACGGCTTTGTCCACACCAACGTAGTTTGGGCAAATCAGTGCCTTGAAGCTGGGGGTTTGAGGAAAAAGATCGTGCTTGGTTCCACGAACCGCGCCCAGGTAGACAAAGCTTAATAGAGGTAAGAAAGTTCAAAATTTTGGTTGCAATACAAGGGGACAATCGAAGGTAAGAGGGTTTGTGTCCTTGTTGTCTATTTCCTTCAGGGCAAAACAATCCATGATTACGAGTTTTGCAGTAAATAGTGATAAATTTGCAGAGCCTACAGTTGGGTCACTTTTAAGGGAATACCTTTGTACATTTACATTCAAAAGAAAAACAAGCTTCACACAGCAGACAATAAATTCTAGATGCAGAGTATTACTCTATGATGATCTTGGTTCAGGTTTCTCTACTCATAAGTTATTGTAGAAAGTTCATACTTAACGAAAGGCTGTAATCACCATGGATGGCAAAAAAAAGAGGACTTTTTACTAGGCATGGTCCACTCAATGAAGGAGAAGTGAATGAGAAGAACAAATGAATAAAATATAAAGTACGTATATTTTTTACTTTTTTTTTAACAGAGATATAATAAATTGGGTAATAAATTAATACATCAGATAAATCTAGCAATTAAACTGAAATTTCGGTTTCGTGCTTAAAATAATGGGAAAAATTCATTTCAAAAACAAAAAATTAGAAGGAAAAAATTAATAGAATTTTCCTGTGGATATAGACAAAATCCAGCTTTAAACTGTGGCACATGTTTGGCACCTAATTTTAATTCTCTGAAGTAGGCGATGCTAACAAAAACACCCTCTTTTTAAGTTTGAGATAGGTATGTACCGACCACTGTGGAGAGATATCTTCCAGATTACGCAAACAATGAACACGATAAAACTGTGGATACATAGGTACCATTTTATACTTTGCACCCAAAATGAAAAGGAGGCTCTTTGGCTGATAGCCGAATTTGATTTTGGGAAAAAGAAAATCAGCTGAAAACAAAATGTCAGTAGTGTTGATTCCCAGTTAAAACACTTTCTGAATTGTTCAAACCAGCTGTAGTTTCTAAAATGTAGTACACTGATTTTTGATCAACAATGTATATTTTTTACTTTGTCATTAATTTTCCCCCTTTTTATACTTTCTATTTATTTATTCATTTATTTACTTTTTATCATTTTATTTTTTCTTGAGATCAGCAGGAATTGAGAAAAATATAATTCTGATATAATACATTAACAATTAATATTTGAAAAGGACAGTAAAGAAGGAAAAGACGAAAAAAAAAGAAAGAAACAGAAACAATCTTAAACTACAGCAAAACAAAGTTAATCATATTTAAAATGTATATACAATGAGTATTTCTTTCATATAATCAATGCATATGATAACTACATATTTTCAATTTTTTCAAGCTTTAAAACAGCGAAACTTATCTTTGGAGAAATACTGGTCTTGCTCAGATCATTCCATCATTGCAAAGCATAGGTTAAGCAGGTTCATTAATTACAAAATTTCAAAAGGACAAAAGCATTGTTTATCCACAGCTTAAGGATTTAAAATCTTTTGGTACACCTATACAAATATACCTCTGAAAGTAATATTGCAACCTTGAGTACAAAAAATAATTGGTAAAACTTACCTGATTTTACAAAAGTACTCATTATGGCTTGAATTAAGACTTAAGGGTACAGATATGCACAAAATACTTCGATAAAAAATTGGCACCAGCGTAAGTACATACACTGTGATAGAAATTTAAAGGATTATTTTATTTAAGGATTTCCAAAATTTGGAACAATAGAAGCTTCCAAGAAGAAATTAAGTTGATCTTAATTTCAATTTAAGTGTCTTTAATTTTACTTTAATTAATTTTTTTTCAAAGCACAAAATGGAGTGATGAAATAGTTCAAAACATGAACCTTAGAAGCTTGAGTTTCTTTATTAAATTAAGTGCATACAGAGAGGTGCCTCAAATTTTAGTCTTAATTCAACCCTCGAGGGATGCAAAAGGAAAAAAACAGGGAATTAAGTCTTAAAAATCTAAAGATTAGGTCTAAAATGATGGACACATTGGATCTAACTTTGATCATTGCTGCATGGACATGCCAAGTTGCTATTGCTAGAGGCAAATAAGAGAAGCACTTGATATGATTGAATTAATCATTGTCATGCTTAAAGCATTTGCTCCACTCGAGAAAATAAACATGAAGATCTTAAAATAATATTAAAAATCTTACAAAACGAGGGAAGTTTAAACTTATTTTCTTGCAGGAATCATTTCAAATAGGTAAGACCTCCTGACGATTAACAAATCAATCAAAACTGAACACACTTCCACGTTACTGATTACTCAACATGGATAGAAATCAAACGACAAATGATAACAACTAATTATGATTGTGAAGTCAACAATAAGGCAATTGTACCCATTCCTTTGATAATTGATGGTTTTCAAGTTACTACCTATTGGCTTCTCTACAGGAAGTACCTGAACTCTCGAGTTTATGACAGCAAAATGTAGGTAAGTAAGTATTTTTCTCGGGAATGAATCTCATAACAGATATTCAATAAAATATTAATGAAAGGGTGAAACAGAACTCAGTACGCATGAGTTTAGAGTTTTGGTTAAGTGCTCTTATGTAAGATAAAATAAGAATGATGTCTGAGACTTCAAATTAGATAGTCAGAACTCTGTTACCTACTCTTTTTAACTCTACTTGAAAAACCTGGAAGCAGAAAAACGCTTGTTTGGGAGAAAAATATTGATTCCCTCAAACTGATACAGCCTTAATCCAAAAAGAGGTCTGACAACCAAGAGATACTTAACATCTGGCAGAAAAAAGCGAGAAACAATGGATAAAACGAAATATAATCAAAGGTCAAACATATATCGAATTGAAACTTAAAATCTAAAACAAACATTGAAAATATCGATGATAAAAATAATAAATATAGTAACTACACTTTAAAAAAATAAAAGATTTATAAAATATGCAATCTATTAACATCTTAACGATAAAATAAAAGGGATAAAAATAATAAGAGCGATAATAATAATTAATAAGTAATAATATTAAATATAGAACAAACAAATGAATAAATAAATAATATAGTAAAAAATAATAAAGAAATTGAGAAAAAGCAGTAAAAAACAGAGACCGGAACAGTACAAAAGAATGGAAATAATTTTACAATTAA